CTGCCGCCTCGGCGGAGCCTTCGTTCCCGGCCGGAGGTTTCGGGCCGCGGCCGCCTTCCCCGGGAGGGCGCGGGGGCCGGGGGTCCGGTAGGGCTCGCGCCGGCGGCGGCCGTTGGCGGGGCCGCTGTGAGGGAGGGGGCCCGGGCGCGGTGCGCTGAGGGGACGGGCGGCCCCCCTAGCTCTGCCCTCCGGTGGGGAGCCGTGCCCCTGCGCGGGGGCCGCCGGAGCCTTCCGCCCTGGGAAAAGCGTTTGGGTTTGGGGGCTTGGTTTGGGGTTTTTTTGTGGTTTTTTCCTGTAGGAGAGAAAACTTTTACCTTAAGGGGAAAAAAAAATAAAATAAATATTTCTCTGTCGAGTTGTCACGCGAAAATTTCAACCCGCAGCTCCAGAAAGCTGCTTGATGTTCCCAAGTGCCGAACATCAGCCACCTCCCGCTCTATTTAGATGCCTTTTCTTTTCTTTCGGTCTCTCTTTTTTTCTTTTCCATGAATTTTGGCAACTACCTACTTGGCTTTATCACTCTGCAAATGTGCTCCCATTAAAAAGAAAAAAAACAACAAAACCCACCAAACCAACCCTCAAGCTTTTCAACGTTTGATGTGTGTTTTATTAATTCCCTTGGCCCCATTCATTTGCTAGACATTCTTCTTCTTTGATCTATTGGTAATGGTGTTCATTTAGGAGAGGTATTCATCTGAGCAGGCTTCAATATTCTATCAAGGCATTTGAATAAATATAATTATTTCTTATTTTCTAACATGAAGTAGCCGAGGGCTTTAGAAGTAGAAAAGCATGGGAAGAATTGAATTTCTGGGCTTCCCTTTAATAGGAAATAGCTTTACAGTGCAGTCAATAAATCTGGGCTTGTTAATGAAATGTTCATAATAGCTACAATTAGGGCCTCTGCTGACTTTATTTTTGAATTAAAAACACATTTTTCAATGGACCCTTCAATATTTCATTTTTTGTTGCCAAGTTGCTGGCTTTGTTGATGATAGTTTTTGTGTGAACTCTGCCTTTCCTGAGTGGAAGAGCAGGGCTGTCACATAACGCTTATTTAAAACACAACCAGTGCTCATCAGTCAACAGATTTTTGGCAAATGATATATTCCCGTTTATTAATAGAGGTGGAGGGGAAAAAAAAAAAAAAAGTGCTTTTTACCTACAAGTAAGCCAAAATAATTTCAACACTTTTTTGGGGAGGTGGGCCTGCTTTTATGATTTTTAACCACGCCAGTGTGTTTGCCCCACAGGGGACTCGGTTGCAGAGGAGGCACATCCAGGTGAGACAGTGCCGTGTTGTGTCCCAGGGCAGAGGGGCAGCGTTTTGGGGAGCTGGCTGCTGTCTGGAGCTGGGACCAGTCTCCTCCCTGCCCCTGGGGAGGTGCAGGTGGGGCCAGAGCGCTCCCACCAGCACCTGGGGGTAACTTGTTCTTTGGCCAGAACAAGTGTTGGTTAACAAGCACTGTACTGTACTAATGAAGCAATGACTAATACAATACAAAGGATTCATTTTTATTTCTTTCACTTCCCCACCCACTCTTAGGCTCCTCTTTCTCCTGCTTTTTTTTTTTTTTTTTTCCCC